ACCATGCCCAACTCATATCCCATGGTCTTTTTCTATTATAGCATGTTGTCTCTTAAGACATGAAAAACTATATTTCCTATATAACAAACTTAACTGATTTTTAAAAAATATTTACCTTTTTAAAAAAATTTGTAGTTGGACACAATACCTTTATTTTATTTATTTTTATGTCATTCTGAGGATCGAACTCAGGGCCTCGCACTTGCTAGGCTACCACTGAGTCACAACCCCAACCCCTAAACTGATTTTTATAACAGTAAAAATAGTTTATTTAAAGCATTCTTGTATAATTCATCATTTGGTAATTGTTCTGGCTGGGATTTGTTAAAATAATAATAGTAGATATTTATTAAGTACATACTATGAGCCAGGAAATGTGCTGATTCTTCACATGGATTATATCATTTGTTGCTCGTCTTGGCTCTGTTCTTATCCCATTTTAACTGATGAGGATACTAAGACAACATAAGAGGTAACTTCTCAGCATCACACAATAAACAAGGGCAATGTCTGAGTTCATGTGATTGAAACTCTTATTCATATTTTTCCCCTTGTGGGTCTTTACATTCAGTTCTATGAGCATTCATTAAAAACTTACACTGTACCAAATAGTGTTGAATTACAAAGATTTGTATCTAATTTTTTATTTTGTGAAATTATTCTCTGTGGACATTGTGAGTTGGACAATTGCTTTGGGGATTGTCCTGTGCATCATTGGATGATTGGCAGCATCCCTGGTCCTTACCTACTAGATGTCAATGCCTTCTCAATTTATAACAACTAAAAATATCTCCATATATTGACAAATGTTTACCAGGGCCACAAAATAGAGAATGTTGATCTGTCTGTCTGTTCATCTGTCCGTCCATCTATCCATCTTTCTATCTTCCATCTTTCTTCTCAATAGGTACCTTGTAACTTTTAAAGTCCACTTAAATAATACTATAAGGCATTTTACATTTGCAGAGATTCCATGACCCACTTGACTTAATCTTTTATCTCTTGTTAGATTTAGTAACTACTGAAACAGACCTTGTGTGATATGAAGGAGAAATTCTGACAAAGTGCTAAAAGCAAAGGAATTTTAAGTCTAAATGTAGGAGAAATTTATTAATTCCCTTGACATTTATTTTTTACACTCAATACCTTGAATTTAATGTCAAAAGTACCAGACTAACTATTGAATGAACAAAACTTTGGTGCTATTGTTGTTGTGGTAGGCAGAATAATGGTCTTCTCAAAGATGTCCATGTCCTAATTCCCAGAACCTGTGATAATGTTACCTTATGTGGCAAATGGATCTAACACATGTGATTAAGGTGAGAAGAGCATCCTGGTATATGCATGTGAGCCCAATGTAATCACAAGGGTCTTAATAAGAGGAAGGGGAAAGTTGGAGTCGGAGAAGGAAATGTGATAAAAAGCAGAGGGGAGAAAGGGAGGGAGTGGGCAGAATATGAAAATGCTATGCTGCTGGCTTTGAAGATGGAGGAAGGGCCATAGGCCAAGGAATGCCTGTGGCCTCCAGAAGCTGAAAAAGGCCAGGAAACATCCTCCCCAGGAGCCTCCATGAGAACATCTTGCAGACACCTTGATGTTCACCCAGTGGACCCCATTTCAGACCTCTAGCCTTCAGAACTGTGTGATGATCCATTTATATTATTTTAAGGCACCACATTTCTGGTAATTTTTCATAGCAGCAGTAGGAAAGGAAATGAACTTGTTGCACACTCAATATGTATCATGTACTGCAGGAATGCTTTTGTGTCACCTCAATTAATTCTCCCAGTGACTCCAGGAGATAACCCTTATACGCGCTCTCTCTCTCTCTCTCTCTCTCTCTCTCTCTCTCTCTCTCTCTTCCTTTATTAGGAAACTGAGGTCAGAGAGGTTAAGTAATTTGCTCCATGTTAAGGGTGGAACCAGGAACCATGCCAAGACTTGCCTGACTCTAAAGGCTAAGCTTGTTCTCGTCAAAGCATATTGCCGAAACAATACCCCCTGCAATGACTATGAATCTTTCTGGATTCTTTGTATTTATTATATTAGGCCCCAGGCTAAGTTATTTGTAAATTCTATTGGCACAAATGATACACACTGTAATAGATGTTATTGTTCATTTGGGATTTATCAATTAAACAAATGCCTTCTGGTTTATTAACTGCATGAAGTTATTTCCCCAAAAGGCATTGTTTACTGCCTTTTGCTTGGCTTCTGAAGTCCAAGGTCCTTCTTGTCTTGGCAGACTGTGACATTCGTCTTAGCTCCTGCTTAGTCTAACATTTTCATTTTCAAAAAGCCAGTGGTAAATCAAGCTAAGAGGCAGATTCCCAGTCAAAAATTGATTTAGTAAGGCATTGTAACTCACCAATTATAATCCTACCTTTTTGCTCTACAGTGTAATCTATTTAGCCATTGCCAAATCTAAGGACACACACACACACACAGACACACACACACACACACACACACGTGCGCGCCTTGTTTTCTCTTCTTCCTTCTCTCTGATACTCACATGCCTAGGAAAAATATTAAAAGATAAAATGTAGACATTTCAGACATGATGATTCAAATGGGAGAAACTTTCAAAAAATGTGTTCCTTAATAGCTTTTCCAAAAAATGTATTTTTCTTTCTTTTTTCTTTTCCTGCATTACAAGGGATTGAGCCCAGGACCTCACACATAGCTGGGAGAAAGCTCTACCACTGACCTATATCCCCAGCCCTTTAAAATGTACTTTCCTTGACAGGAAGAAAAACATGTTGGATATTCTTATATGCTGACTCTTACTTAGGATCTAAAAAGTTAGAGCTCTATCTTTATAAAACAAATAGTTTGCTTGAGGGAGGGACTATTTCTTACTCAAACTCATAACTCTCAAGCATTCCGAATGTGCACACTAAAAGATGATTAAATTGAATTCTGTAACCTGCTTATACAGTCAAGGAAATCATGGTAAAGAATTCTAGGAAAGAAGATTATGGGCTCATTTGTGAGTTTTTCTTGCTTTGAAACCAGCTGTAAGTTCTTAAGTGATTTCAAACACTCCTTTTAATTTTTTTTTTCCTTAAGGAAACTAATAGAAATGCTCAGTGAAGAGGAATGGGCACTGTCCCATGGCCATGCTGGCCAAAGTGTCCTCACCGTGATGCCAGTGGCACAAACTCCAGTGCTCTTCCCCCACCTCCAGCTTCTGAGCAATTATGTCATTTCATTGGCCACCGTGTCTAAAGAACTCTCCACCACTTTATCATCTTCTTAATTTTGTGGCACAAGGAAAGATGTCAGATTCAACCCCATCAAATCAGGTGGACTCCAGCCCAGTTTTGGTTTTCTGCTGGCAAAACCCTGTGTTCCCTGAACCCGTCTGACACTCTGTTTTCTCTCATGCAAAAGGAATGAATCATGCTCAGTTGGAAGAGCAGTTATGCAGATCGCTTGAGGAACGTGCGGGCATCTGAGTGTTTTATAAACTGTACAGCCTGATAAAATGTGAGAAAATATTATCATTGCTCCTTATCTCAGTACAATTTTCCTGCAATGAAACTCTGAAAAAAAAAATCCAAGATGCCTCTTTGCCTGCCAGGGAATGATCTCTAATTTTTTTTTTTTGGGGGGGGAGTCTCTCCAGCATACAATAACTTAACTTCTTCTTCTGTAAATGTCACTCACTGGTTTGTATCGCAATCAGCATTTGGATGGCCACATTGCCATTTCAAACCTCAAGCAAGTGATGTCTCCATTGTTAAAGAGGAGATAGGACTGCATAAAGAAGTCAACTCTGCCTGGTTACCTAATTTTCTGGGATTGATTTTAAAACTCTCTCTTTTTAAGAAAGGGTAGATAGGTCATCATGGAGATAGTAACTTGAATACAAAGTGAAAAGTCCCTCCCAATCCTTTAATGTAATACACATGGTTGGGAGAATAGGCAAAATGTTGAAGATACAGATTGGATAAGAAAAATTATGCTTTACCTGATTTCTAAAAGGGAAGTTGGCTTTCTGTAGAGTATATACCTTCATTGCTCCCCTGACCCCACCAAGAATGAAAGCAAGCAAGAAACCAAGCTAGTCAGCTCACTCTCAGTTTCCAGATCAAGTAAGGAAATGAGCCAGATCCTTATGTTTTACAATAAAACAAAACAAAACAATCAAACTTGCTAAAGGTTTGAGTAACTATATTTTAAAGTAGAACTTTCTCTGCACATTTTCGTTCATGTTTCTTTTCTAAATTATACTCATAAAATAAGTGGTAGAGCTATAATGAGATAATTTTTCAGAAATGATTCTTTTTCTTGTGAAAACTCTCAATGTTGATTAAAAGATACAGTTGATTAAAAAAAGAAGGAGAAAGAATTGGCCTCAATATAGAATATTTTCTGTTTCTATATTTATCACATTTCTTGTGTGTGTGTGTGTGAGAGAGAGTGAGAGAGAGAAAGAGAGAGAGAGAGAGAGAGAGAGAGAGAGAGAGAGAGAGAGAGAGAGAGAAACATAGCAATCAATTTCCTCAGGTCCTAAATGATTATTTTTCTTTTACTGAACACTTGAATTGTCTGCACAATGTAGCCTCTTAGGAATTTTAAGAAAAAGAAATTTGCTTTTTATTGGCTGGCTCCCTTTGACTTTTTCTTATTTTGTATAAAACTTTCCTCTACGATCCTAAATATCTGATTTTTATTTGTTAAAGCCTCAAAGGAACCTACTTTTATGATATGCCATTTTATTTATTACTGCTTAAATATTTTAATTTTTCTTATTAGTTTATACACATACACGTGTGTCGTCTTTGGCTTTTCCTGCTTACACCGAGGAAGCTTCAGTTGCTTCCTACTGTATCATATTTGTGCCATTTTGATGTGAAATTTACAGAGGTAGTCTCCAAAGAAGGAATTTTACAATAAATTTGGTTTATACATTTACCATCTAATAAATACATCCTTCAACTTTAAGACTTTGGATTTTTGGTTGTCAACCCGACACAAAACACTATCAATGGGAGCCAGACTCTAGTGTGCTTGAGTCTGCAGTGACCCTATGCATTCCTACAGTGCTTGCCAGAACAGGGTTGGAATGGGTTTAGGTCTTGCCATGCTCTATTCAGAGCAAGATCATAGGAAATACAAAGCAAAAACACCACCACTATCAATGGTATGCATATGAAAGCCTTGCATTACAAACTGGGAGTTGCGGAGCTGTAAATATAATATGGTAGTTATAGCTAATATTATGATTTTATACTATACTTGAAATTGGCTAAGAGAACAGTTTTTAAAAGCTCTTACCACACAAACACACACATATGGTAACTATGTGAAGTGAGTGATATGTGAATCAAGCTTGTATGTAGTAATAATTTCACAATGTACATGTCAGAGCATCACATTAGATACATACAATTTTTATTTGTCAATTATACTTCAGTCAAACTTAGAAAAATTGGAAGGTGACTTTCAGATGGGAAGGTGGATGTTCATCTTTTGGGATCACCTATAGCTTAATTTAAGTGGTATTTGGCTGACTTCAATGTGTAAGAGCTGTCTTAGGTACTACCCGGGAATATAGAGATCAGTAAGACTTGTAGTCTAGGGTTTTGCAGAGTATACAAATATATATGTTTTCAAAAGCTAAATTCAATATCTTAAGGAAAATTGAAAGAATAGCCTTGGGACTGAATACAAAACACTACGTGATATAGTTAAATTCAAAATTCATTCTTAAACAAGGAATTAATTGTTTTGTTCTTGAGAAGATGAAACATTCAGGTAATTAAATAATGAAATCAACACTAATTTCCCCATAATAAAACTTTGGTTCAATAACAGGGAGTTTGTGATATTAATTTTAACTATTCTAACAAATCAAAACATTATTATTCTCCAAGTGCAAGAGTCATCTTGTGAATGGCTGGATGCCTGAAATTTTTTTATTGAAAACAAACAAGACCTAACCAGATACTCACATTTCATTACAATTGAAAGAACCTAACCTCAGATTGCAGTGAAATGTGATGATGTTTTCAAGGGACATGATTAATAGCCAGGTAATGTGAATGTGGTGTGCGTTATATTTCTATTTTGGATGGGATAATAGAGACAACGTCATATTTCCTGTGAGCTCAGCATGCCGAATTGCTATGGGTGAATCTCACACCTCAGCTGCCTTGGCCGCTCCTTTCTGTCACTGGCCCAGGGTATGTCACTTCACAACCCTGGAGCCCCTGGAGTTACATGCATTCGCCTTCCTTTCTCCATTCTCTGTTTCTCCCTCTCCTGGAAGGCACACTTCTAGCAGGGTGTCTTCCTCCTTCAAGTCCTTAGTAAGCGGATATGCCAAGCCCTGTGTGAGCCCTTTCTGTGTATTATCTTCTTTAATCCTCACCTCCATAATTCTGTCACTTCCCTTTAATAGTTGAAGGAAAGAAGAAGCGAACTAGCTCACCCACTATTCATCAGCAGTGCCTGGTCGGGGTCCAACATGGGCAACCTATGCTGGGCACTCACACTCTTTAGTGAATAATTGCTGAATGAATTAAAAGCATTTTCTCTCCCAATCTATTTAAAAATGCCATAGCTGAGGTAATGACTTACCTCCAATCTCTGTTCCCTCTCATCAGCACTGCATCCCCCACCCAAAGTCATGCTTTTTGTTTTACCCCCTTTACTGCCCTCGGGTTCTTTGAAACATACCAACTCACCTAAAATATTTATAAACAGATTTCACACATGTATACATTTTTATCTTCTAAAATGCCTCTTTTTTGTTGTGCACATATATTCTCTATGAAGGGAAAACTGGAAGAGACAATCAATATTTTTTGTTTCCTAATTTAACTTTAGCATGCATTTTTTTTTTTAATTTCAGGTGAGTAATTTCAAATCGGATTCCTTACACTGGCCTTTTAGACTATTTGTTACTTTTATTTATTTATCAATAATGGCAACCAAAAAATCTCTTTCTTATTCTCTTAATGGAAATTTCTGTGTTTCCTTTTGACTCATTCTTCAGTGCCAGATGGAAAGATACATTTGCAAAGGACACCGATATATTTACCTTGCTCACGAGGATTTTGTTTCATCGTCATCTTGACAACTACAACATAAAATCTTGTAGAAGGTGGAGTTTGCTACCAACATGCTACACATACACAAAAAAATCACCTCCTGGAGGTAGCAATGGCTCACTGACTTCTTGATGAAGGCTATCAAAGGAAGAGGCTGTCACTGAAAATCTGTTTATTTTTGGCAAAACGTGGTTGTAGTACAAGGAGGATATCTTTTAGTTTGGGCTAGAGATGTGAGAGCCTCCAAAAATTCAGTTTATAATTCTGGCTACAATATATCTTTGGCTTTTCATGTTACTGAGCATGAAAAAAGCCAAAACAAACCGGTGGTGTAAGAATTTATTTACAGTTGATTACAAATATGTAAGGAATTTATTATTTGATTTTTAAAATAAAATTCAGTTAAAACTATAAATAGGGATATATATAATTCTAATTTGTTATATATAACAGCAGAATACATTACAATTCATATTATAATATAGAGTACAATTTTTCATATTTCTGGTTGTATACAAAGTAGAGTCACAGCATTCATGTCTTCATAGATGTTCTTAGGGTAATGATGTCCATCTCATTCCACCGTCTTTCCTACTCCCATTCTCCCTACTCCTCCCTCTTTTGCTTTATCTAGAATTCATCTAATCTTCCCATGCTCCCCCAGCCCCCGCATTATGAATCTGCATCCTTATATCAGAGAAAACATTCAGCATTTAGATAAACAGGAATTTTGATTTGAAAAGAAATATAAACTAGGATATTGGCATTCTGCATATTTATATTTCCATCTAACACAAAGTATGGCAAAAATGAAGAACTCTAGTCAAATGAAGTAATTATACAGTTTAATAATTGCACCAACAAACTGACATCACCAGTAAAGAAATACTCAGCAATATCTGTAGAATAGATTTCAGGGGAACCTATCATAACCAGTATGAGGCCTTCAATGACCCTCAACAATCTCTAGCTCTGTTCAACTTAGGGAGCCTAGCTACATCAGCAGTAAAAGGGACTGAACTCTTAACTCTCTTTTATTCACCTTGATCCCTCCATTTTGCTCAACATATTGAATTCAAGCAGGAAGCTGTAGGATTCCACCCGCATAATGAAATGGAAGTTGGAGGATTTGGGATCTTGTCCTTATTTGAATCTTTATACGTTACTGAGCTCTTTCTAGAGCCTGGGCTGCCTTTGGGTTTATGACCAAGGTCAGACAGTCTAACTTTTCTGCTCTTCACATGAGCTACCATGCATAGAAGGAGGTTTAAGAGTCAGAAAATTGCAGCTACACAGGACACTTTCTTAGCATCAAAAAGCAAATTGAAGCTTTTGTCATTAAGAATGTGAAATCAGTTGCTCAATAGTGGAAATAAAATGAGGATTGCTGCCAATATTGGCAGTTGGTAAGCGACGTCATGAAACATTTTTAAAAAGTATATTCAATGAGTGAGCGTGTGCACCCACTCTCTTTTAAATACACTAACCAGTTGAAATATAAAAATGTTAAATGGCTGAGCATTAAATTTAAATGATGAAGAAGAAAGATGTGCCCAAGGCACTTGCCCTGACTCAGGGAGAAAAGATTATTGCAGGTCATTCAACTAGAACAGAAGTTTATAGAAGGTTATCAAGGGAAAGAAAAAGACTTTTAAAAAAATCACAATGACCAAAAAGATCACTAATTGTATATCTAATTTTAAAACGCTCACATTCTATAACTATTTTGAACATCACTGATGTGTTCTGGAAATTAAAATTAAGAAAAAAAGGAATGTTCATAATAATAATACAACCGTATTTGTATAGCTTCTTTGAAAGTAGCATTTAAAAACAATTCTTTTTCTCTTAGATTTCAGACAGTAGATTCTCAGAAGATATTTGTGGCATTGAGTGGAATGCCATCGCTAATGCCAAAGCATGTTCTGCTGTTTTTTCATTTGGGCTTCAAAATGGATCTGAGAAGCAGTGGACATACTATGAAAGGGGAAATAATGGAATTTAGGTGGTCAGGCAGTGCAGTCTCACTACAGGGTCCTAGCATCAGGAGACCTTAGTCTATAACACTCGACTTCTTGGCTTATTCATGTGTAAAACCAGGATTAAGTCATACACTAAGGTTGCTATAAAGATCTGTCTTAGTATGTTTTCTCTTGCTATAATAGAATACCAGAACCTGGGAATTTTTTAAAGAAAAGGGGCTTTACAGTTCTGAAGGCTGGGAAGTCCAAGAGCATTTTCTTGGCTTCTGGTGAGGGCCTTGTATTGATTCAAGTCATGGCAGAAAGTGGAAGGACTGGAAGTACGTGCAGAAGAGAGAGGGGCAGGGAGTGCTGTACAACCTTCTTTTGTCATATCTAACCTACTTTCATGGGAATTATATGAATCCCCTTGCAAATGTGACCCAAACACCTCTTTAGAGCCCCACTACGTCTCAACACCATTACATGAACAATTACATTTCAGTTTAAATTTTGGTGGGGACAAACCATATCAAAACCATAGGATCTAATGAGAGGATACCTTTGAAGCACCGAGCACAGTATCTGGGACCCAGCCACACTCAGTGAATGCCAGCTGTGACATCACTTTAATCTGTTGCAGCTGTTTGAAGTGACACGTGCCTCAGATTCCTAACCACCCATCTAATTAATGCTGGGAGCTCTCTACTCAAGCTGTGGCCTTCTCAGAAAAGTGATCATAATATAAGAATAAAAGAAAGTGATTCTTTAACATCATCATCTTTTAACTGTTCTTGCAGAATGGATAAAATATTGCTCCATGTTTGCTAAGTTTGGATCAGATAATGATGGGAACAAATAATTGCCCATCCCTGATTTTAAAGGTGCATATGGATGATGACTTTTATTTTTATGGGCTTTTAAAACATTGCTGTCTAATGAATTAATTATCTTGAGAAGAGTGACTTCCTTGAATTGAAAGATGTCAATTTTAAAGACTTAAAGAGAAATGCATATTGGGAAAACCTGCACATTGGAGCCTCAAATAGAACCTAAAAATTCACAATATTAAAACACCACCACCAACAACAACATATCACTGTTTTAGAATCCTACCAGAAGAAAACCATTGTCAACTTCCAAAAGCTAATGTCAGAAAAAACTTATGAAAGTAGAGTTTATTAAATTACATAAAAACAGATGTCCTTTTAAGCTACTAGATGTAAAAGCACCTCAAACACTTCTAATGGAATTATGTCTTCTGAGTACATTGTGTGGAAGGAAGGTATAAAGAACACTAGAAGATAAGGTGCAAGAGACTTAACCTGGGGCTGCTTAATAACAACAATGTGTAATCTTTAGCTTGAAGTTAGACCTAATTCTGAGATTTTAATACACTCATGTTTGTATTAGTGAATGCCCACACCTTCAAAATCCAATCTACCTTCGCTACCTTTGCTCTTCTTTTTGTATTGTAATCTTAGACTACATATCAATCATGATCAAGGAATTGCTATATTATGTAGAGCTTGCAAGGGTTTCTGAAAATTTGGTATTGTAATGTTTCCCTCCCATTTTTCTATTAAGTTTACCTGAGCCAGAGATAACCCAAGTGGACTCTGTATAAAATCAAATACTCTTCTCTTTAGTCCCTGACAAGAAAACAGGCACTTCTTAGTTTCTGGTGTCATCAGGGACACTTCCACTGGCCTGGCTGTTCAATTTCTAAGCCTTCGACTCTGGACCTTTAGCTTCTGTATCCAATTAACTAGGAGATAATGGCAACTCTCCCTCCCTCTGCAGTGTGAGCTAACACCTGCTCTCCCTTTAAAATGGGGTTCAAACATCAACTCCTCTAGGAAGCTCTGTTGAACCCCAAAGCCTGGTGGGCCTCTTTCCTTTATATTTCTGAAACACCACAGATGCCCATTTTATCACCAAACTTGCTGCATTTTGTTATTATGATTGGCAAGATTAACATCCTAGGATTGTGGTTCTCAACTTTTGTAACATGTTAGGATCACCAATACTTAATTAAAACCTCGATGAATCAGAATCTCTGGGGAGGTAAGGCCCAAGCAAAGTGTTATAAAAGCAGCAAAATTTTTCAAATTTTATTGTACCAACAGTTCACCTGGGGTTCTGGTTAAAACACAGATTCTGATTTTATAAGCTCTGGGGTGAGGCCTGAGATGGTATATTTTGAACAAGCTCTCACAGATGCTGCTTATGCTGAAGCACCTCAAGGTTGCCTGCAAAAGTTGTTATGCATTTTAGGAAAAAAAATATCCCTATCTATATCTGTATCTATGTTTATATCTTATGGTCACAAACTCTTACCCAGCACAGGACTCCTCTCCAGTTACCTCTACCTGCCATCACCTTTTTGTATGAGTGGAATTGTTGAGATTTTTCTCATAAATAAGAATTTGGTTCATGAGTATTTCAGCTACAATTGTTCTTCACCACTTTCATCTCAGGGAATGCCTTCCCCCCAGCCCTACCTTTTTCTTGTTTCCCCTCTCATCTCACTGGTTGTGCAGCACAGTGGAAGGCGGAGGGGCATCAAGACAGGGAGAGGAGGCAAGTCCCACTGCTTCAGCTTGGGCTTCAGCTTCTAAGCACACTCTTGCCTATTTCTTGACATCATTAGACCTGGGATTTCCTCTTTGGCCCTCGTGACCTTCTGTGACCCCCCTTTTCCTCTCGTATCCCTGAAAGCTCTCTGCTCCCCACCACTCCCATCTCATATTTTACTTGCTCCACCACAGTCGCGGCTATCTCTTCTGATTTATCCCAAGATAATATAAACATCAAATGTTTGTCATAGAAAATATTTTTCTTTGGAATTTAAGTTCTATGTGCTCAACAGCATTACTTTTTCTCACTTCACACTTCTATCCTTCCACATACGGATCAGATCAATCTTCTCTGTTTTAGGCAACCTTGTTAGGCTTTGGGTAATTATTGTTTAGTAGGGCTAATGGCAAGATTGAAGCCTTTTTTAGTTTTTGTGCATCGTATGTGCCAACCTAACTAGAGTCCCATGGTTCCCCGGAGTGTGTGCCGAGGCAGCCTGGGATGCAGCAGGAAACTCCTCTGAACTTTTTAAAAAAGTTCATGGGACAGATAGGCACATATCACTGCCATCAGCCCCCTTGAGAATTACTGGTTCAAGTTAGTTCTCAATTTCTACAGTAGGTGGTGCTGCACTCCATTGGACGATGTCATTTGTAACCCAAGTTTTCCATAGTGGCTGTGATAAAAGCAACCACAGTACAAAAATCATTGTGGAAAAGGAAACAAGGAGGGTGGTATCAGATCTGATTGAAAAGTTGTGCAATGCACAAAAAATGCATATATTCCATTTGTAAGTAACTGTGGTTAAGAGTGAAATAAAAATATTATTTTTTTCTGTCAATTAAGACATATTTTTTTTTCGAAGAGTTACTAGATTGTTAGAGCAGAAATACTAAGTTGTTTGAGCTTATTTAAAACATGGAGACATTAGATGTTTCTTTTACCTTAAGGCCACTGTGAAAAAAGACCTTTAGAGAAAGTTTTGGAACCTCTGCTCTAGTCTAACATTGTCCTAAAAGTTTCCTGACATGGATGATACGAATTATTACATCAGGTGTCTGTTTTATTCCATGTCAATTAAAGGTGACCAAATGGCCACAGATGAGGGACACTTGTTTATCTCTTTTTTTTTTTCCTGAAAATTGTATTTTCTTTTCCTCATGTCTCATAACTACGCGAGGAGCTGAGGGAGGGGCAAGAGGGAAGAGCAGATGATGGTGAGGTAGGGAAATTTTTCAAAATATCCACGTGCGACGAGTCTGGTTAAAGCCATCACTGCAAAGGGATTTTACCATTATCCTCTACATTTTCCACCCACTGAGATTTGTTAATTACCCCATTTTACTTCTGCAGTGATATAGAAGTCGATGTTCCACTCGACTGCATTGCACATATGTTTAATAGAGCATATCCAATGAATTTTTCACCAGTAATAGTAGTTTCTTTACACACCTATTGTGTGCTAGCCTATACTGCCTGTCTCAAACCACCCTGCAACTCCACCAGGTATGCATTGCTTCAAGTATGTTCTAGATGAAGAGATGAAAACCTGAAACAGTTAATAACCTGCCCTGGGTCACAGTGGCAACTGGCAGCACAGGGATGCTCCTCGGATCTGCTTGAGTCCACAGCTTGCAACTTTTCCCCATGGCCATTGGACCTCTCACAATTATAACTGTGAAACTGATTCTTATGCAGTTGTAGCTGCCGCTGCTTCTAGGATTCTGAAATATCCTGAACTTTCTTTAAGAATATGTGGCATCATTGACATAACACGGCATCGCAATTTGAGAAGAAAAGCAGAAAAGAAAAAAAGTGGGGGGAGGGGGAAGGTCAATCCTTTAGACAAAGCACTTTTTAAAACTTAATCTTCTTTGGCAATAAGATATTTGTGCTGTAAAAAGTGCTTTAACACTGCATTTTTCAAATTTCACAAACGAAATGCAGTACAAGTCAATGAACTGTCTTTCCTCAGTAGTCACACAGTGTGTGAGTTTCACAGCAAATCTGTGGCTACATCCTTGGGGGATCCATGTTGATGTTCACCCCTTCACTGAGCACTCCCTTTCCTATTTTATTCCACATTAATAATTCACTTCACTGGAACATTGCCTGGTTATCTCAGCCTAAGCCACGGTCGGCTTTTCTCCTTCATTCATAGTGGTAAATACTTAGAATATCTGTACACAGTGATTCAGGGATATTCGATCACAGATTGAAGTGTGAACATGCAGCTCTTGGAATCGGCAAGACTTATTCTATTTGCGTGATACCCTAATAGAGGCATTCAAAAATAATTGCTATGATAAGAAATGAAGACATTTTATATCTGTATTTTAATGTTCATTCTCAATTTGTTTATGTAAGGGATGCGTATCAATACATTTTTCTCATCAATACCACCTGATGGAACGCAGAATCTGCAAAGCATGAGCCCACATTCCTGGCTTTTCTTTTACCTCTTTGCAGTATGCAGATATTCTGCAACAGGAAGGTAGGTGATGATACAATTTCAGTGACACTCATGATGACAGCCAACCCAAGTTGCTTCTCTGACTCAGCTCCAGGAATTGTAAGGGCTATAATAAGCCATGCCTACTCACTCTACTTTCTAGAGTCAGTAAGATGGTCAGAAACTGTTTAGAAATAGCACCTTTACATAACCATTTTTTTTTCTCTTTTGTCAACCTGGCTACAGTAAATCATAAGAATTTAAAACATCTCATTCTTGCCAATTACTGAGATTAAGGCTAAATAGTAACCACTGCCAAGATAACCACCCCATCTGACCCATGGTGCTGGGTTTTGCCAACAAAAATCTTCATTTGGTCCAGAACAGAGCCGGCATAGGTAGCAGAGTTAAGAAACAGTTAATTTGAATTTGGCCAAAGGACTCCAGCTCAGAATGTTTGCTTTCAGATGAGGAAAAGGAACCTACCTCTCCTTACAGCATAATCTCTCTATTCCTATTTTTAATCCACCCTACTTTATAAAATAGCTGGACCCCATTTTTCAAGCTAAAGTAAAAATCAAAGGATTTATGTTAATCCTATGCGGATGGTTGTGGGCGTTTCATTTTTCACTGAAGCATTTTCTTTTTCTTTGTGGCACAGCTAACATTTCTCAGCTTCTTGCTACAGTCTTCTTCCCGAAACTACTCAAGTAGGAAAAAAAAAAAAAAAAGTCTTACCAGATAAGCAACAATTCTCACTGTACTGGGGAACAGTTCACAGCCTCCCTGTCTATTTATGAGAAGTAACTTCTTCAGGCTTTGAAACCCAGAATGTGAAAGCGCGCACAGGAATCCTACCTTGCCCACGTACTGATAATCCGATCCCGTGTACTCCTCCAGGAGAAAGAACTGATTCCACATCCAGCTCCTTTTCGAACGGTTCAGCTCATTTTTGCTGTTTCCAGAGAGCTCCAGGGCCCTTTTCTTTGCTGGGAAACCACTAGTCCTCTTAGATAACGGAGTGGAGAAAGTTGGGTAGGGCTGACCGACCCAAAAGAGCAGCAAGAAGTACCGGTAAGTTCTCATGCTGATAGCACCGTGAGTCCCCCTCTCCTTGAAGCGCCTCTTCTCACTGCACGGTATCCAGCCTCATTCCTCCTTTCTTCCTTAATGTTCTTTGCTTGGCTTTCAGAGGATATCTGGAAAGAATAATAACATATCAAGCATTTTTAGAGATGCTTAAAATTCAGTGTTAGAGCAAATAGGCTGGAAAAGGAGGGGAGGGGCAGAAATTTGAATAGCAAAACAACAACAAAAAAGAGTTGGCTATCAATTTTGAAATGAGGAAACCGGTCTTTCAGATATGCTAAGTGGAAGGCATGTGCCGGTAGGAAGCTGCTGTTTTCCTTCTTTTCTATCACTTAAAAATTCTATTTTAAGTAAGAGCATTGCTATAGGTCAACATGCCAGAATGGATTATTTCACTACTCTTTTACCTTGGAATATGTGGGCCGAGATCTGGTTAGAAGAAACGAGTTTGTGTTTCTGATTCTATTTGCATATTTATCCTCGTGAAATCTAAGGCAAAGAATACCCACAGACAATTTAAATTCAATTGAAAGTGGATAATGTTGAAATTTCGGGAGGATGTGTTGCGCACCTGTGTTGTGCCAGGCACCAGGCAAGGCAGAACCTATTCTGCAGACTCTTGGCTGCAGAGATGTGCTGTGTTGGAACAGTTTGGGTCAAGTAAGGTTGGAAAAGACAGTTCCATTTTTTTCACAGTGCAGGTTAGCATATTGAAGTTTCTGAAGTGATATTTTACACCAATGACAATAAACCTATTTAATTCACATTCTCCAGACTGGACCAGAAAACTATTTTTGCTCTTGAGATTTACTTACATTAGAGGATGGGTCAATGAACAACAGATAGAAATTGTATTTAAGCGCTAATAAGAATTAAATGATCAATTCTATTCAAAATCATTTAGGAGATCCTGAGGTTTTTTTATCCCCAAATTTCACTTGTATCTTAAGCAATCACATATGTATATTAAAATTGGTCAAACAGTTTCTATGTAATTTTCACAGATGCATCAAACATATCTAAGAATCACAGTGAGGACCACCAACGGCAAGATCTTCAGAAAAGTCAGCTATTATACATGTGGGTAATAATTTTCCATGGCAAATATTAATTTTCAAGAATACAACGTACCATTAAAAGATCCTGGAGCCAGACTGCTTGGCAAAGATCTCCCAACTTGAGTTACTAGCTTATGCTTAAAGTTGATTATGCCTGCTTTCTTTCTGAACTTTTCTACGTATCTGGGGTGGGGGGACAATCTAACAAAATACTCCTTTATCTTACTATTTTATTTTATTGGTTTGAAATCAGGGGCATTCAACCACTGAGCCACATCCCCAGCCCTAATTTTTTTTTTCATTTTATTTAGAGACAGTGTCTCACTGAGTTGCTTAGTGCCTCCCCATTCCTGAGGCTGGCTTTGAACCAGAAATCCTCCTGTCTCAGCCTCCTGATATCTTACTATTTGATGGAGGAAAAGCATTTTATTAAAAAAATATTAACAACAACAAGGAAGTACTTTCTAGGGTAGGATATAATAGTAATTGAACTGCTATACTCACTCTAAGCCATGATAAAGAAACATATTTTAGGGAATTTGATCCGCTTTTTTAAAATTTTAATGTCAGAAGAGAGTGGTTCATTTTATTCCTATTATTCTATCACATAAATGTATACATGACCATTTTTCCCTCCAGCAGTGAGTAATTATAACCACCTAACAAGTAGCTTAGTGGAAGTTTTCTGTTGGAAGATAAGTGAAATATTTCATGATGTTCAGCATTTTAAAACCTTTTTTTCCCATTATTATGCATCTTCTTGACAGTAGGCTGGGGAAGTTGAAAATTCTACAGGTGAGTAAATTAGTACTGTGTCAATTAGTCACTCTGGAGAAATGCCAGGCAACAGTATCCTTGTCATTTTGCAGCCTTGGTACAGGGGTGGAATGACTGACGATCAATTAGGTAACGATGATTCTTCTCTCTACTATGGATGGGGCATAGAGGGGACAAGAGGGCATATGGAGAAGAGCCCTCAAAAGACATTTATTCATTTTTAGAAGTAGAGATTACACTGAGGTTGATTCAGCACAATTACATTTTTTCTTAATTTCCTACATTCTCTATTATTTGCAAAGACAAATCCTGCAGTGAAGAATTACACGTCTGCTGCTGCACTCTGTGTGAGCCCCATGGTGCTGGCAGGAAAGAGGGATGCAGAGAATGGAGGCGTCAGCTGCTTAAAAGGCTGGCTCCTAAAGGCCATTTTAAAGAAAAATCGATCCCTGTGGGTGTTGTATGCAAACTCTACAAGCTGTTGCCACTTGAATATTAAATATTAGTTCTTTTTAATATCACAGATACCAAAATGTCAAGTATTTCATTTTTTTTCTTTGTTGGTAATGAGCTTTTAAAGTGATGCAAATTTAAGCAGTGTTTCCAAGTATTCTATAACGTCTAGTTTGCTATAATCCAGTTCTTCTTGTATTAACTTGACAGGGTGAGGCTTTGTTAAAAACTCAATATGCAAAACTGAATACCACGAGCCATTCACATTTGATGTTAGCTTTTTTAGAAGGGCAGATTCATCTTGAAATTCTATGATTAAAAAAACCTCTCTAAACTTTCAATATACACATCTTTATAACATTCTATCCCTTTAGCTTCACAATCCCCATTTAATGTTTCTTAATAGGCAGGATTGCATGGTGGTTAAGATTATCAATGCTGAAGTCAGATTGCCTGTGTTTCGATCTAGGCTCTGAAATTTAGTCTCTATGAATTTGGGAAAATAATCTCACCCTACCTCAGTTTCTTCTTCTGTAAGTGGGGATAATTTTATGGTATGTACCTCATAGGGTTTTGTAAGGATTAAACAAGTCCTTATGTGCAAAGTACTTAGAACAGTACCAGGGCCTTAGAAAGATATTAGTAAGTGTGATTTATTGTTATATTACTTTCATTATTGTTACTACTACTTGTATTGCTGGTCTAGACTCCATCTATCACACATTTCATGAGTCTGCAGAAGCTGAGTTCTCTCTTAGGCCTAAATACTTTCTTGTTCAGAAAGCATCTTCAAGCAAGTCAAAATTCATTTAAAATTTGAAGCAAAGAAGCACTTGAAAATCAGAATGAATTCTCTGGCTAATTGTTTTCTTTTGTGTGGACTTGGATTCAGCACTTAGTAGTAATAGACACAGGGAAGGCAGCAACACGCTATTTCTGTAACCACTGATTGCACAACAGAGAAGAGCATGGATAAAGGAGAGTTTGCTAGAGAACCAATCCACTTATAGAATCTGTTCATTTCTTTTATCCTTTCCATTTTATTATGCTAAGATCTAAAAAAAAAAAAACATCTTTACTTTATTAAGGTAGGGGAAAAACCAGAACTAGCTTCCATTTAGTAATTTTGCCTTTGTACAAATGGTATTGACAATTAACATACTGACATGATTTGTGTGTTATATCAGATAAGAATCAGATATAATTAAAATGAAACACATTTTTTAGGTTTTTACTTAATCTGAAAATATGAAGTGCAAAGAAAGTGAATATTCTCCTAGCAGGGTTTTTAATGAAAAAAAATCAGAAAAACCAGGATTTAAGGTGAGGAATAGTCATGAGTTCAAGCAAAGAAAAGTGCTCATAAGTAACGCGGGCAGCTGTTGACTTCTGAATAGTCAAAACACAGGAGGAGTGCAGGGCCAGCGGTATTAGAGGTGATGACTCATTCATAGATGCCAGGAGGTTGACTGGAAGGACAAGGAAGTAAGAATATACACAGAAGGAACCAGAAGTTTTGACAGTGGGAGAGAAGGCAAATATTGTACCATTTTGTGTCCCCCCAACCCCTCCCTTTCATCTCCTCTTGGCATTAAGAGAAACTCAGGAAAATAAACAACTCTATAAAAATTCAAATTCAACTGCCTAATTACAGTCTAATGATAGTTTAGCAAGACTCTGTCTCAACTTTGGATTTTCTATTTGTTGGGGTCTAGGCTTTTGCGGGGAGAACTTTCTACTTCTTATAAGCAATCATAGATATGCTCTGAAATCTGATGGGAAAAAGTTGTTGATCCAAAAAAATCTTTGCAGAAGCCTGATTTTAGTGACATATAGAAGGTAATTAAGATGTTTATGGATAACTGGGCAAGACTCACACAACACTAATAATTGCATACTTTGAAAATGTATTTGCCTGGCAGCAAACATGCATATATGCTTTAATCTTTATGGAAGTACTTAGTCAAGTCCAGGTTTTAGTCAAAGCATGGCATTCAGGAGGAGTCTGGGCCTCATTAATTCAGGTTCTATTAATTTGGAATATGTGATAATTAATGCAAAGTTTTCCTTTGATTAATACAAACTTTGTCCTAGATTATTGGAAATTAATAGTATAAATATGTTCCATAGGATATTAGAATGAAAAGACAGACTACAATGTCTACTGGTTCCCTAGAGTACTTTGAAATCACTTTTCATTCACCAATAATTAATATGGTAATTAGAAAATTTCTCCATTGATTGAATTGCTTCTCCAGTGACTTATGTTTGATAACAGTTTGAATGACTCAACTGTATTATCTGGTTTTCAGATACTGATTCTATTAACACTGTTTACAGACAAACAGGTAAATATTTGAAAGCAAGATAATTATGTGAGAGTTTTAAAATTCAGACCTGGCATATGGTTGTTCTAGTGTTCTTGATTAATTCTAATCAGGACAATACTACTATAATGCTACTAGACTTACAAATTAAACCAAACATATTCATTTTCTTTTGGTTTGTGGTTGCCTTAACTTGGGTCTTGAAAGCACAGTACACATTTGGTAAAGCAGTGCTACAGATATACTTTTTCTACTGAACTAATAAAAGAAGGCTCCAAAATCTATTATGAAATTGTTTTTTTTTTTCAGATAAAGGGTGTTGCATGAGGAGACTGTGGCATAACACTGCATGATGCTACCCACAGAAGATGTTTCTGAAGTATTGTTTGACTGAAGTCATCCCAACCCACTGAAGAACTTACACTTAAGTCATCCTAACGAATAAGCATAGAACTCTTTTCAGCATATGTGTCACAAACCACTTATTATTTTTTGGTACGTTTTCTCATGTTATATAATTAATGAAGGAGGAAGCAGCTGGTTGTTTACAGTTACTTAACACGTCTCTTGACCCCATTGCACTCAATGCTGAGCCTGAAGTTCTCCATTCCTGCTCTGGGTGCAATGGGAACAAGCATGATGTTGACGACATTCAAATATAGTGAATTAAACAAACAGAACAGCATGTGGGGATGAATTATACCAAATGAAGCCAAAGGTAAACTTGCCTTTGCACAAATAAATCTTTAAAAATACATGTTATTTGTTCAGAGAGAAGAGTTTTATAGCCAATTAAGTTTGCTGAAGATCAATTTTTTGATCACCCAAGAACCTTTGTTTTGAATAGGTGGCTTGCTGGTATGAATAAAAGAGTGTGCCTGTAGGACATGGTAGATCTTCTAGAAGTGATGACATAAGGATAGAACCAATTTAACATTTTTGGTAGGGATTTCACATGAAGTCTTCATTTCTAAACCTCCATTTCATTTTTTCTGTAAATGTCAAAGTCACTGTTGAGTAAAATTGGTTCCGTTTCGTGTGTGTAATGAACTCCACTGAAATGTGTCAAACAGCTTTGGCACCTCTCACCACGTAGCGTTTCTTCTGTGCCAATGAATCATTATGGCAACAGCCATCAAATGATGCTTGATTTTTTTGTAAATGTTTATATTTGTGGATAATATGCCAATCTGTTTGCAAACTGATGCATTTCCAGATGAAGCCATTTCAACAGTATTACCCTCGTTCTAAAATCATATTCCGCACATTAGATTAATGAAGATAAAAATCAAATGTGTTACAGCACATAAAACCCGGTTTTATATGTAGTTGAGGCTCAAGGAATATTTGGGTTGATACTCACATAGGACAAAACAAACACATTGGAATCAGAGGACATAGACAAAGTTCTTGTTTCACATGGAGGGAGGAGCCTAAACTATTTTGTTGTGAGAAGTGTCAGAATATGGTTAAAATCAGACTCTAGCATGCCACACAATCAGGGTTAGAATCTCAGGCCTGCCCAAGAGTAGTGGGACAAGAAGAGACCAATTTGTGCCCCAATTTCCTCAACTAAAAATGGGAGGGTATTAATAGTACTTACCCTCATGGAATGGCAGTGCAGATGAAATTAACAAGTTCAACTATTGCATTACAATGGTCAAAACCATGTCACCCAGCAAAGAATGTCTTAGCAGAGGACACAGGCAGGACATAGGCTTAGGACCAGATTTTGCCTTTTGAGCAGTTTTGGTTTTGTCTTTGGCAGTGATGAAACTTAAGCCAGTTCCTAGTCTTCAGAAACCAGCAGATCTCCGTCTCTGGGTTAACTTGAAACCTCAGAAGTCTGGTTCCAGAGTTGGTGGTGCAGCCTCTTGAAGCAGTGCAGATGCTTCCCGGTGGCTACAGCCCTTACTGTTCCTTATTGTGTCCCCTTCTGGGGCCTTAGGTTCAACTGCCATTTACCATCTCACTTTCACTTCAGTTTTCTTAGAGCTACTTAGTTTTTTTAGGTCCTTCTCTGCATCCTGCCTGGCTCCTGAGGGCCTCTGGACTTGTAAACCCTGTTTTCCCCCAAAGATTTAGTCATGTGAACAAAGGAGAAGAGAATGTGTTTCATACTTTCATTTAACTATTCATGATAGGAATTTTAAACATTCCTGTAGCAGAGTGTATGTTTGCAGAAATGTATGAAAAACTTGATTTCGCATTACCCTCTGTTTCTATGTTAGGTTGTCTGGCAGCTACATTAATTCCTTTGGACACATAGCCACTTAAAACAATGAAGTTTAAACAAGACTGGGAGATGTCTAAACCCACTAACTAATTAGCATGAATGTTTTCAAAATTTCAATGAGTTTGCTCATCTTTTAATGCTCAATGAAAAGGCAGCCTGAGAATATTGACTGGGAGCTATGGGCTAGCAGTAAAGAGGGTATCTTCGTGGGTATGGGGAGTTCAAAACAGACTTAACCTTATTAAATTACAAAAGGCATCACATATCTAAGTTTACCATTAAGTATTTATAAATTTGGCACACTATACATGGTTTTAAAGACTTGATCTTGTATATATAATATACAAGAATAGCATAAATGTTTTGTTTTTGCTGACATATGTCTAAATTTTTTTTTATCACTGTCTTTCAAACTTTTATCAATGATGTTTAACTCCTAGATAAGAATACTGGTTGACACTTGGTGTTTTCTATTCCATAACTTACTATGTGTTAGGTACCATCCTAAGCACATCATAAAGTTGTTTTGATCTAATTCTCACAACAATTCTATGAGGGGAAGTAATATTCTTCCAATTTCTGCAGATAAACTGAAGCTTAGAGAGGATGAAGAAATGGTTCAAGGTCATGCAATATGTATGTAATGAACCTAAGCTAACTGAAGCAATCAGATTAGGGTATCCTCACTCCAAACCCACATGAAGGAGTCACAGGCCAGGCTGTTGCCCACATGATAAGTGAGCAATACAGCTGTGACCTTATAATTGAGTCTTCATGATTCTCCTAAAAAAGAGCACCAATACAGGTCTCCAAGAAGTAAAATAATTGTCACAAAGTTTATAAGCTAAATAAGAACAGCAAACAAATATTTGCACTGTGCCAGGTAATAGGATAAATGCTCTACAAATATATATGTCTTACAGTGGTCCTTTGAGATGAGAACCATATTCTTATTCTGTTTTAGAGATGAGAAGCACAGTCTTAGAGGGACTGGAGACTTTGCCCAAGGGTACACAGTAAGTGAAGCGCAGAAATTGGATAAAACCCAACTAACCTAGACGTTCCTTCTTAATCCTAACACCCACTATTTCATTTGTATTTTGCTCTTGGAAACAGCATCTAGGTTTTATTTACTCTCATTTCAGACAAAACTTGAACAAATTTATCGTCAGATTTCTAAATCCCCAACAAATTGAACAAAAAGGCAAGGAGTGCTAGAAGCTGGAGCATCCACATTAGTGGGAAGGAATAGCTAAAAGGCTCAGGGGGAGTGGTCACATAAGGCAGGCAGAAGAACTGGAGGTAGAACAGAGTCAGGGGCTGGCCTTGGGAGAGCCGAGAAGTCCTGCGCTCCACGCCAAGAACAGGGCGTGGCATACAGTAACACCAGATAAATATTTGTCAAATAGGTGACCTTATGGATGAACACATGCTTGGCTTCATGTAAGAATGACTGAATGTGTGCTTTGATAATATGACTGAAGACTGCAAGAATGGACATGAGTATTTCACAGCACTGGAGGGTACCACTGTTTGTAAATACAGCTCCAGAAAACACATGGTCTTGGTCTTAAATTTTTAAGGAAAAAAACCAGTTCTCCTAAATATTTAGCTTGAGGAAGCTTGGGTGGGTAGAATAAATAGAAAGAAAATTATTGTCAAAAGTCACTATAGTGGGCTGAGGATGTGGCTCAAGCGGTAGTGCCCTCGCCTGGCATGCCTGCAGCGCTGGGTTCCATCCTCAGCACCACATACAAATAAAGATGCTGTGTCCACCGAAAAACTAAAAAATAAATATTAAAAAATTCTCTCTCTCTCTTTAAAAATAAAAAAAAGTCGCTATAGTGTTGTTTAGAAGAGATGGACTTTCTGTGCCTATGTCTCTGTCTCTCTTCTTTCCATGAGAGAAGCAAACTCTTCTACTTTTTTGAGCATTTTTCAGGTATGAAATCAGTGCTGAGATGCTAATACCTAGGGACAAAATAGTATCATGGATAGACGTACCCTGGAGCCAGTGTACCCATCTGTATCCCAGCATCAGCCACTACTAGGTATAAGATACGGGTAAGTGTCTTGATAAAACATGCTTCCACTTCTGTATCTTTAAGCCAAGAGTAGTAAAGTCTTGGGGTTTTAGTAGCTGTGCCTGATAAATAACACCCCCTTTTCTCTTCCAAACTCTAAAAGCAGAAAAGTTCCCAAGTGCAGACTCTAGTTCTACTTTTCAGAGTGGGACTTCCTGCTCCTACCTCCAGCCAGCTCACATATACAACCCGAGGTCTGAAGAAAGTGATCAGAATGAATCTCTTTTAATCCCCACTAATTAAAATGAGATATTAGAGACATCAGCAATGCTGAGAGCCAGTAAAACATTTATTATTTGCCAACAATTCTTGTATTTAAAGCTTTGCTTTTTGGAGTTGTTTACAACATCACTAAGAGGAAAAATATGAATAATTTAAAGATGGGGAGTTTAAAGGTTCCCTAAAAATATCTTTCACTTCAGGCCAATCAATGTATTACAAGCAAAATGAAACTCTTTTCCATTTCGCCTCACTTTCCCACCTACACACCCGCACGCGTGCAAAGAGGGATAATGATCTAGATATTTTTATTGTGCTTCAGACCTTTGCCTGTAAGCAATGAAAAGCTACCATGGCTATTCTTACTCAAAGGATGGCAGTATTTATGGAGGTGCAGGAAGGAAATAAGCAAAGCTTCACTTGCTGTTTGGATAGCTTTGTTCACTCAGTGTGTTTTATGTAACACTTTATTTGCAGAGGATTCATAACCTAAATTAGATGCTTCTCAGAATGTCTTGGTGTAATAACTTAGAAGAAATGCAATTTAATAAATAATGTATAACCCATTAAAGGTGCACACTGCAACACTGAAAGGTTTCTTTCTTGAGACTAACCAAAGTGGAGGGGGCTTGTGATGGTGGGGACATCGTAACTAATTCGGGCTAATGTTAACTGACCATCAAATGAAACTTGCACCAGACAGGAAGACAATGTGCTTGAATGGGATGCTTGGTGTTGTATCAATTTTGATTGCCTTCATTTAAAAACTTTAATTAGAATCTCTGTTTACTTGAGTCAAATTGTGCATAAAATATCACTCACAACATTTTAAAAGAGAATTTTAATTATACCACTAAAGAAATGCCCTTGTTCAATGTTTACTAAACACTTGCCAGAACAAGTTAATTAATACGTGTTTAAATAAGTGAAAGAAGAAGAAGAAAAACAACAAAGAAATCACATTCATCTTTTGTCAAGTTTTGCTACCGTCGTCAAAGAAGTTCAATTTCGGATTCAACCACTGCGCTGTCAGAGTGCACGTGCGAGATTCCCAACAATGAGCGCCAAAACACAACGGAGGCCAGAGGAAAGCTCTTCCAAATGAGCTGTTGCTCCAAATAATTGCACATTGTTTGCTGTTCTGCAGTCACCACTCAAGTGCTTTCAATTTCTTTCATCTATTCGTTTATTTCCTGGTACAACATCAGAATGTTCAGACATTGCTGTTTTAACAGGTCAGCATGGGCTTTTTAATTATTTAAAAGCACAGGAAAAATAGTTTTTTAAATAGAAAGAGCATATATGTAGAAAATTTTGATGGATATTGAGATTTTAGTTCTAATTTTAATACGTCACTCACTTTTCAACTTTATCGTTTTAGATTCCCCTCTTTCCCCATCTATTAATGTAAGCTATGATTGATTGCTTGTGCTAGTAAAGATTGATATTGGAAATCAATTGATGATCTGCCCAAACCAAAATGAAACCAATCTCTTTGAGATGTGACCTGTTATCTCAGTAACTTTGTGAAAAGTCAGAAGAAAAAGTATCCAAAGTAATGTTGAAATCTTTTAGAGAGAGAAAAATACAAATATTCCATTACTTATCACTATCATCACTAAGAACATTATTCTCTTAAACAGCATCATGGGTATTTACCTTTTCTTTCTTTAAAAAGAAGAAGTGTTTTTTTTTTTTAGAGAGAGAGAGAGAGAGAGAGAGAGAGAATTTTTTAATATTTACTTTTTAGTATTCGGTGGACACAACATCTTTGTTTGTATGTGGTGCTGAGGATCAAACCCCACCGCACACATGCCAGGCGAGCGCGCTACCGCTTTGGCCACATCCCCAGCCCCAAAGATTTTTTTCAAGATTTATTTGCTAAGATAGATCTCGCATAAACTATTCCAGTATTAACAATTTCATTCAGAAATGCTTCTGAAAAACAGACAACCTACATCAGTCCTGATGTAGCCCTGATGTCACTTGTTCCCACACTGCTGAAATTCACCAAATTTCTCAAGCCCAGACGTCTGGTAGGAGCCTGTGAAGGTCTGCTAAATGATGTTGGCTTGAAATTGCACTCCAGCTAAAAGAGTTGTGAGTCTTACATGTCACAAGTTTGTTATAAAAATTAAGTATGACACAGTGGTATAGACTAAGTGTCTGTGTCCCCACAAAATTCCTAAGACCTCATCACAATGTGATGGTATTTGGAAGTGAGGCCTTTGGGAGGTGACTAGGGCATGAGGGCACTGAAGTACAGAGTTAGTGTTCTTATCATGCTCCATAAGCAATGAATAAATCTTAGCCAGGACTGTTTTCAATATTATTGTCTATAAAAAGTTGTGTGGAAAGAGCAGATAGAGCAATCAGTCCATATCAGTGAAGAATGTAAGTCAAAGTACCATAAAAGGCAACCTTCTTAAAAACCAAAACAAATATGTATGCATTACTTTTCTTTTTTTAAAAAAGGGAAAACTTTATACCTAGGGTAAAAAAAAAGCACAATTTGATACTTAAGCATGCCGTTGATTTGCTCTTATTAATTTTAGCTGGCAGGGGAAATAGAATTTCCTAATGTATTTTTTTCCTTATAAAATAAGAACTTGAAGTGCCAGCATATTTGCACACCTACCAATTATGAAATGAGTTTCCCTGAATATGAAAACGAAGCCAAAACATAATTTAGTCCTATAAGCTACTGTCAAACCCAGCTATAGTTTCTCTTGCAGCATCCAGGATTATTATTTGATTAGCAATTGCTTAATGGACTTGAAAGTTGCTATTTTTCCATAACACATTAAAATTTTTTTTTGTAAAAAAGTGTTGTTTTTTTTTTTTCTAATTAAACACACACACACACACACACACACACACCACATGACACACATTAAAAGCATCTTCGAAAGTTAGGTGTTTCTGACCTTCTGAGTTTAGAAGACGTGATAGTTCTGCCACTAATGTAGAATTTCTTTCACATAACTGTAAATAAAAATTAGATATCCATGGTTATAAATACCCCATTTCACATTTTCTTTAGCCACAGCAAAAATTTTTAGTTAATTGAATCACAGCCAACTACAAATAAAGCAAGAAGTGCAATACTTGGAGCTCCAGGTCATAGGCAACCATTAATTAAGATGCAAGGGATCAGCAGTACAGGCCTCCAATACAGGGTTTTTGTCCCAGAATTTTTTTTTGATGGATATGGACTAAAGTATCTAGAAAATGCAGTTCCAGCTCTTTGGAAATGAGGAGATTAGGTACAATCTTTATTTTGCTTGACCTGGAGTTTTTGATAAAAGTTCTGAAGTGTCATTTTGAAAGTGAAAATAAAAAGCTTGCTTTCTTTAGGAATCTCATTTGTATTTTTCTAAACTTGGCATATAATTTATTTATAATAAAGAGGGTCACTTCACGGGTAGATGGGCTTGTCAAAACACAAAAATGCTAAGAATGTGGGAAGATTAACGGTCGCACACTTTGTTCGGTGACTTTGTGCAGTTGCTATTCTAAGTTTCTCTGTCATTTTCTCTCTGTCTCAATGTCTGAAGGGCAAACCACACAAGAAGACCACTCAGTGTTATGAATAAGCATGTGGAACCCATCCCTGAGAGATGGAGGGCGAAGGAAACTTCAGTTCTCCAATTCTCAGGGCCAGGATAAAAATTCCTTGTCATGGACTCACAGGACAAGGAAATCTGGCACTTCCCTATTTTTTACCCATCCATCTGCCTTCATGTTTGACCTCCGAACTTCACAGAAGAGCAAAATGGCAGATAAGTCCCCCTGAAACCTGTTCTCGCCTTGGTTTGATTCCAGTTCGTGCGTGGTTCAGAATGGCCAGGAAGAGATGACTGCAAAGAGGAGGTGATATTTACTCTGAAAATGCTTTGTTTCTTCAGAATTCAGGGAAGGTGTCCATGGCCTCATGTCTATGGTGTCTCCAGGGGCAGGATGGAGTGCGGAAATCACTTGGGCCCTGTGCTGTCACAGGACTGAGTCAAAATACTCATCTTGGGTTTTCGAGCAGTTGCTGCTGCTTCTTCCCTTAGTCTGGCTCCTGAATGCAATGTGTTTTCTACTCATCCTCCTGTGTCTCACACTGATCCTGTATCCAAGGAAGGGAAGCCTGGATGGGGTTGCACCTCTCATAGCTGGTGCTCTGGAGGGCATGACCAACAGAGCTTGAAACTCTGCTGGTTTGAGTGGTGAGGGTCCCTGCCTGTGGATCCTGTGGTCTTCTTCCTTGT